CGCTTCTTTTGACACGTTGGATTTGTTCGGAAAAAAATAGAAAGTATGAAGAAAAAAAAAAAAAGAAGGAAGACTAAAAAGAGAAAGAGAAGAATGTAAGAGAAAAGAAAAAAAGATCAAGATAAGGAGGATACAGAGGACAAAGGACTCTGCTTTTGAAAGGAGACAACGTGCGAAAATGAAGCAAGGGAAGGTTGGGAGAAGCAACTACGAAGATTTGTAGATAGACGAATGTATACGTTAAGATATATCTCTTTATTCTGAATAGATAGTTTAAGAGAAGAAAAGAGAGAAAGAAAGAGGAAGAGGAGAATATATCCACTTGAAGAAAAAAATAGGTCAATTGTGTTTTTTTTGCATTTATTAGAAAAGAGATCGAATAGTTTTCCGTTGAATTATTTTTCTTCTACAAAGAACAATTTCCGCGTACCTAAATGGTTCAAATGTGTTTTCGAAAGCTTGTTCGAGGTTCGTAGGCAAGTCTTTGATACGTCGAAACGAATAGCCCGTATGAGTCCTTTATCGTATGTGTCTAAGGCCCGGATCGTATGAAGAGAATTCTTGATGGTTTCACGAGTATGAACTATTGTTTGAAGTTTGAATTTCGAATCTCTCTCTCTCTCTCTCTCTCTCTTACTCTTTCTCTTTTTCTAGACTGCTGTGAATGAGTTGCCACGATTTTTAAAATTAACTTAATATGATCCAGTGGGAAAACGTCTATTTTTTTTTCTCCCTCTCATTAAATCCTTTGACGAGCTCGTTTGATCGCACCCAACGATCATATAAAGAATTTAATCATTCTTTCGACGTATTTTGATGTAATTCCAATGGTTCAAATTTTTCGCAGACAGTTATCAAAAAGTATGAAATATCTGCAAAAGATTTTGTGCTCATTGAAAAACGATTGATGCGTTTCATCATTTGATAAAAGTTTTTATTCTGGTTTTTTATTAGCTACGTTTCCATTAGGTAAAAAAAGAAACAATATTTATGCGCGTGACAAAGATTATTACATATTTACTTCTAATAGTTAAGTATAAATATATTTAATTATTTATTTTCTGAATAAAATTAAGAAAATTGAAAAAAGTCTAAAAAAAGAGAGAAAAAGAAAGAGAGAGAAAAAAAGAGGATTTGAAGAGATATAAGAGAAACACGAATCACCGAAAAATTTTCCATACTTCCATTTACCACTATATTTTTACTTATGGCATTACGCAAGATAGGATTTTTGCCGTGTGCATGACATGCTCGTAGAATGTTTCGCATACATACATATATACATACATATGTACGTACGTATGACATCTAATTTTCGGATAAAATACGGTCCTCAACGAGATGAACGTTTGTCAAGCGTGATTGAGCAGGGCGGATGAGTAGAACAAAACTTTATGCGTCCACCGAATGATTCTTCTAGTTCTTCGATCAGATTATCTTCGTATTTTAATATTTTTAGACTCATGTGCTATGAATAAAAATATAAAACAAGAAAAAGGTTTCATTGAGCATTATATTATTTTTCTTCGTTTAGAGAAGGTTTTTGTTTAATTGGTCAACTTAAATTAGGCGTAACGTCTCCTATGCTTTTGCCTGCAAGTAACACAAAGACACGGTTAGTACATTTAAATCCTCTTATCCCTGTGTGACAACAAGCTCGAAAAGAGTTTTTTTTTGTATTTGAAATGTGCGTAAATCGAAAAGCAATGTAAAGGATTTGGAATATATGGATATGTAAAATATTTAATCGATCTGCCTTCGCTTAAAAAGGGATTCGAGCTTTCAAAAGGATTTCGAAATCCTTAATAAATGCACATTTTAAGTGAGAACGTTCATAAAAAAGAAATGAATATGTGAAGATCCAGAAGATCTATTTATAATTGACCTATTTTTTAAATGAATAAATCTTGTGCAATGCACAGTACTTTAAAATTGTAATATTTTAATTTTTCTAATAGTTTGCATAATTTCATAATAATTAGAACACCCTATAGGGTAGTTATGATAATAATAATAATAATAATTAAATTAAAATTATAATAATAATAATTATTATTATTTTTCATAGTCGTGCTAAGAAAATTAGTTAATATAAGAGCTTATATTTGCAAGTATAAAAATGTCGTTTAAAGAGAAAAATAGCTAGGCAAGATTTGAAATGAAAGATTATGTCAATGCTAATTTATTCGACATCAACCGCACGTGCTCTACTTCTGTCGGTTCTTTAATGAAACATTGAGAAGGGATATAGTGAATTAGTCTTTCTTACTGATAATAAAAACACGGTAATAGGATTATTGATATAAATAAGAATGATAATGATGCATATTGATACGTAGAAAAGTTTATTCATAAGACGATTAGGTCTTTTGTGAATAGATCAAAAAAAGTCAAATAAATTGACAATTTTGCATATGTATTGATGCAATTGATAATGATCGCGTTTATTACAATGACTTGATAGAAACATTAGGTGCAATTCAGAACAGAGAACACGGTTACCTGGCGGAACTTGCAAGTTCGTGACACTCGACAAGTTTGGAAGTACTAAAGCTTAGACGAAGGCAACGGATGGAACGGTTTTGTTTTTATTTCGAAAAAGGAAGGAAATATCGTCGTGGAATACGCCTAAAAGCATAAAATAGACCTAACCCAGATCTAAACTCGCGGACGATCTACAACTTAAGATATCGCCTTTTATCAGCGACCATCTTTTGGAAAACTGTCGTCGACGATACAGAACGACGACAAAGTTGGCGTCGTAAAACGATGAGAGGAACGTCGTTTCACCTCACTATCGTATTCTACGAAAGCTTTTTCCTCGCTTTTTCTCTTTTTCTTCCTTCTTGAAAAAGCACACACATGTGTACAAGTAATACTACACGCGTAACCGATACGTTCGAATATTTTTCAACGCAAGACATCGTCCACTAAACTTTCTTATTTTCATGTGCAATATCAAAAATTAATATTAAGTGCTCGATGAAGATAGCACTACTACGATCTTTAAACTGCCATATTACTAATGGTCGTAATGCTAAAATAAGTAGCAGTACAAAGCACATGATTTTATTTTATAAAAAGTAGTAATATCGATCAATTCTTTAACGTTCGATATTTCGCTTACATCTAGCTAATGTTAGATGAAATGGCCAAGAAAATACGATGAACGTTTTAATTAAATTTATTACAAGCTTCACTTAGTAGAAAATAAAATTAACAATGATTTAAGAAAAATGTTTTAATATACCTACCTACGTATACTAATATATAAATCCGAAGGCTCCGTTTGTACATGTAATTCTTTTTCATTATTTTGTAATAAATATCTATTTTTTTCACCGCTAATCTTAAATTTAACATTTTTGAAATTTCTGTTTGTCTACTTGCATGTGCGCTGCAGGCTTCGAACAGCCTTTAATATCCCATTATCCTCTAAAGCAGCACGTCACCATACCGGAACTCCATGTAGGCGCACCGAGTGGATCACGCTGCTGTACAGGCAACGTTACTTTTTTCACGGGCTGTGCAGATTCAGAAGAATCCTGCTAATGGCTTAGAGAATTTTTTCGGCTCTGTAGGACCTAAAAGACCATGCTGAATCTAGCATTAAATCCAGGTATTTAAACCTGGATCCTATATCTATCATGATCACCCAATTCAAACCTTAGGAACTCTCTTGTGTTTACAGAAAGCAATTGCCTACGTTTTATAAGCCGCCACTTTAAAGTCCAATCTCTCTATAATTTGTATTAGGATTTCGATATTCCCCTCCGCATTACTTATAGCCTCTGTCAGGTCATAACCCAATGCTAGGTAGACTGTGTTATTCGCATACCAGACTACGCGAGATCCTCCCCACATTAAGGTTCTCAAAATACTGTCATAGGCTACGTTCAACAGGGTTAGAGCATGGATAGAATTCTGCGGAATCCTGTAAGAAACGTACCTCCGAATCACTTGCCCCTGTTTCCCGGAACAAAAGTAGGAGATTGTTGAGGTAACACTGAGGTAGTAATCTTAGCGTGATTATGACGAAAGGTACTTCTTCAAAAAATTTTCTGGAAAATAATGTGGGAGGATGTAAAAAGCAAGAAGATGCGTAGAAGAAGGAGACAAAGAATGTCAGGTAAAGACCCTATGAAAACTAAACGAAGGGTGCACTGTGAAGGTGAGCTTCACCAAATGATAAATAGGCTATCAGATTGTATCGGCTCGGTAGTAGTTCCTGGGGGTCTGGAATAACGTCTGCACGCCACTCTTTTTGCTATTTCTTTCCAATTGTTCTCTCCCATTGTTTATTTCGTTATTGAAATAAAAATAATTTACTTATAGAAAAAGTTCGTATAAAAATATAACTATTATAAAAAAATTCAACTAAAAACTCATTATATAATTCGAAACATTTAATGCAATACTTATTAATAATTATTAATCTTGACCTATGCTAAACTCTTACAAAGATTATTTTCTTATGAAACATTACTGTGGAACACATTTGAACATTTTGTTATCAGTACAAAGCTATCTTAAGAAAAAAGTAATGAAATAAATAAGATTAGTAGAATTTACTCGTAGCTATTAGAAACACACCCCATATAGTAAAAGTACGGGTTCTTTCATAAAGAACACAAAGTATAGGTAGTAGTAATAGTAGTAGTGACAATGATGGTGGTGGGAGAAGAGAAAGAGCGAGGGTAGAAATGTAGCCCCCACTCGGCGTCGGCGTCGGCGTCGGAGACGCGACTGTACTCTTCCTCGGTTGTGCTGGGAACGCAGTGTTTAGTACATTCGACGTCCGCGAAGTGGCACCAGCTGCCTCTCGAAAAAGCTCGCCCCTTCACCTCCCAACGAGTTTACTTCACCACCAGCATCATCGTCTGTTTCTCTCTCTCTTTCTCTCTCTCTCTCTCTCTTTCTTTTTCTACTTACTCAGTCAGTCGTACGCTCTTCTCTCTCTCTCTCTCTCTGTCTCTCAGCCTCCCCCTCTCTCCCTCACTAACACATATCGTCTAGTTGGGCTTTCAAGCGAGCGCGCATCGAGGAGGATTCGTCCTCCTCCTCTTCCTCAGTCGGCCCGAAGGATCGACGAAAATCAGCGCGGCAGGCGCGCTCAAATGCCGGCCGGACTACTGACAGTAGTAAAGACGCCATGCTCGCGCGCGCAAACATCGAGCGTGATCGAGGAACTCGTCGAGATCAACGTTGATTCCGTCTTCGCAAAGACGGAAGGTGGGACGAGCGTTTTAAAGGATAAAGCATGGCAGGAAGAACGGAGAGAGAGGGAGAGAAAACACCAAATAAAATAATCACACCTTAAGATTAATAATCAAGGCTGGACTTGAATTTTCGATATAATTCTCGAAATATTATTAAATTGAATTATTCTTTTATACCTTCCTTTCTTTCTTTCTTTCTTTCTTTCTTTGATTCTTTGTTACTTTCTTTTTTTCTCTTCTCATGCTCGAATTTTATTTTATTCTGGTGGCAACGCGAAATGCGATAACGCTCATCGTGATCTTTGATTTTTATCATCGAAAGTGATGGACTCATACAAGTGTTACGACAGTTAGAGTGAGATTTCATGATCCTTCGTTGATTCGAATGGATATATACGTATATATATACATCCATATATCTTGTGTTGGATGGTGCTAATTTATTGGATGGAACGAGGAGGAAAATTTTTCAACGAAGAAGACACAAGATTTAATACTTCCACAGTGGTTTAGGTTTATGTGATTCTACCAAGGTGGGTTTACAAACATCTCGTTAGGTGACTCTCTCGGTATGTGTCCCGTGTTCGTCGACGATGAATGATGCTAAAAGCAAAGCATACATTATTAATATCCTAGTCATTTCATTTCCTCTAAAAGAACGTAGAAACTTTTTCTTTTGTTTTTCTTCTTGTTTCTTTTTCTTTCAAAACAAAAAAAAAAATCGAAGAAAAATAGAAAATCAAATAAAACGTTACTAACATTTATTCGGTTTTTCTTTTTTTTCAAATTGTTTCTATTTCGTTTGAAAAATATTCCCAGAAAAACACAGAGAAACGCATATAGAAATTTTTTGCTTCGTATACTTTCCCTTATAAATCCTCTTCGTATTTGCACAATGCGTAAAAGAAATTACTCCGTACCAATGTTACCACGTCGTTTTAATCCAGCTCATTTCATGTAATGCATGAAATGAAGAAGAAAGAAGAAGGATCGTTAGTAAAAGAAAGATGAATAAACACATTTGAAAAGACGCAAAAAATCGAATAAGAGGAAGGAAGAAAGAACGTGTGTGCGTGTTCACAGAAAAAGGATTCCCTTAGGCGAAATAAACCCTTTTGTTTCTTTTCCTTCTCTTTCTCTCTCCGTTTCTCTCTCAAATTTTCCCGTTTTTTCCAAGCATCCTTCCGAAAAAATGTTCCCCTTGTTTTTATCGTTGTCGTAATATGACACCGCCGCCATTCGGTCGAACTAACTTCGAAGTAGCGCGTGCACGAAGTGGCTCACGCTCCATGCTGCCGTAGGGCGCCAGAAAACAACAAAGGCCATGTTTCACACTTGCTAGGATATCACGGTTTTAAGGTCGCCTTACTGTTTTTTTTACTTAACTTTTCGATATTTTCGATGCTTTGTTCCAACCATAATCATAAAAGATATGGCCTTGATAAGAGACAAAATTCGCTTTATGTAACATGAATAATAATAATGATAACACACAACGCTTTAAAAAAAGAATAGATAAACAGAATATTATCATATTTTGTTATTAATAAGATCAATTACATATTCGTTGAAAAAAGGTTCGTTCGATAGAATTAATGATTGCTATCTCTCTCTCTAATGATGATTAATTATTAACGATCATGTGATCGATCCTTTTAAAAATGCACATTATTAATTCGCTGATTATTTCAATTTATTTTATGCGACTATCTATACCGAGTTAATTAAAACTGAGTTCATTTTTTCTCTATTATATTATATTTACTTTGATGCATTATTAACAAAAATATCTACGTTACAAATGAAATTTCATCTATTATCTCTCGTTCTCTATCTCTAGCTCATATTTTGCACATAAGTATACACGAAGAGGTAAACAAGTATCTTGATATCGTACGGAAGTTCCGCGAAGATGGTAGACGAGGAATGCTTTCGAAGATTCGTGGAATGACTTTAGTCTGCGTTAGTCGTCGCACGACTCCTTCAAACTTTGCTAGGAAGTGATACCAAAATGTTTCCAGCTCATGCATACTGCATAGACAAGGATGATGATCAGTTTGAAGGTAAACATTGCCTTCAATCTATAGTATGGAGTCGATATGGTGTGAATGTTAATAACGGCATAGCTACAGGAGAAGAGAAGGAGAAAGAGAAAGAGAAAATCATGTTTAACGAATGAATATTTGATGCCGAGTTAAATTCTTTTGGTAGAGAGTATACGAGTATTGAAAACACAACTGAGTTACTTTCAAAATAGTCGTAGTACTGTGAGTCGTATGCAGCAGTACCGTTGACGTTTCGTTGGTCGCTGAAATATTTTGATTAAAATTTAAAATAGAGCGACAGTGAGACAAGATCGATACGTTTTATATTTCTCTTTCTCTCATTTTCTTTTACGTAATATACAATCAATCTATCTGCGTGATATTTAAAAAAAAAAGTCAAAACCTATTTAATAGAAAATTTCGTTGTACCACTATCGAATGACCGGTATATATATATAAACTGTTCTAATATATATTGTATATATATATATTATATAACAGTTTATTTGTAGATAGGATAATTTTAGAAGATAAATTATAATTTTTTTCTAAACGAATACGCGTAGCATTATCGTACGTATATAAATATAGTTTGTTTCTTCTACGAAAAAATGTGTATGGTTAATCTTAAGCGGTGATTTGGATTTAAGCTACTTTAAAAATAAGATCACGAGATCTATCATCTGACATATGGCAGACGCGCACTTTAGCCTTCGACACGCGGCTGATAGTCGATTTCTCTATCTTATGCTTATCTATACATTATATATATATACATACAACATGCAATCTATATATTATATATATACAACATAGTATGTGTGAACGTGTACGCACGCACAAGTCTGCGAATGACGTAAAGCCGAGGAACGAAGCGTACTCGAGCTTTTGACTTATCGGCTCGTTATGCCGCGTGTTTTCTTTTCCCGCTCTTTCTTTTTCTAAAGCAGACCGCTAGCCTACTCTCCAACCTTTTCTACTCCTTTATAGTATTCCACCTTCCCTCCACCCACTCTCTCTCTCTCTTTCTTCTGTCTTTTTTCCCTCGCTCGACCGATTCCGAACGAAAAAATATTTTCCCTCAGGTGTTGTTAACTTGCCTTTCTCCTTTCTACACTATTTCTTTGCTGTTCGGTAACCCTCGAATTTCATTGATTACACTAATTGGCTAATACCACGAGCTTACTTTGAATAAATAAAATCCCACGTTCATTTAATATTTTTCGATATTTCATATTGGATTTTTTTGTTGTCTTTTTCGATATAATTGGGTTTCGCTGCTGCTTCTATATCATTGTTTAATTTAATCTCGGACTTATGCGAGGAAATATATTATTAGATATATTATTTAAATGTTTAAACATATTCTTGATTTTCTTTTTTAACGTAAAATGTAATATATATATATATATTCATACATATAATCGATACATCATCATTAATGGTGTTACTGCGTATATAGGACATGATATTGGTTGAAAAGAACTTTTCAACTTAAAATAGAACGTGTTTTGTAGTTAATATGACAATAGAGCACAACATCAGGCTGACTGTATTTATATCGTTTGAATGTTAACGAGACGTTCTACTTAAAGTAAATGGTACCTATCTCGTGTGACGTTCTTTAGAATACAATGGACGTTTATTATTTCTGAAATTTCTAATATACGAACGTAACGAAGTTATGAAAGAGGACTTTGACGGTCGTCATAAAAGTAAAACGTCACGTTCATTTAAATTGAAACCCAAGAATATTTTCTACTTTGCATCGAATTCTATATTCGAAGAAACTTTAAGATGTTTCAACTTTGAAGGACTTGATTCGAAAATATATTTACCTATCTATCTATTCGATTAATTAATTTCCCAAACATTTAAATATTGAATTTTCAAACGATATCTTTCTTAAAATTACATGAAATATTACGAAGCTCGTTAAACTCGAATCGTGAGTACAGAAGCATTGCATTCTTACAACTATTTCTCTACCGTGGAAAAAGAAATATAAAATTTTTAACGAAGTCACTCGAAATGAAATCCGGCGTATTTTTCGAGCAGTAGGAGATAAATTGGAAAGCGTAGGTAAATTTTATGGAATTAAGAAATTTATATACAATTTGTAATAACTCTTTACGTAGATGGATGTAGGTATGTATATATAAGTTAACACAAAGAGAGATAAAAAAGAAAGTAAAAAGAAAAAAGAAAATTATAACTTCTAAGAAAATTTCAACCCAAGATCTTCTAGATATTCTATCCTTATTTCTTTCAAATAAGAAAGCCATATAAAACCCTGGAAAATGCGAAAAAGATAGAAATAAAATATTCTCGGTTTCCTCTTGGCTTTGTCGATGGACTAAGATAACAAACACGTCAGGATAATAGAAAGAATCAGAAATCGAGAAAAAGAGTAAGGAATACGTTCACCTGTCTATGCTCTCTTTTATACTCGAATATTCTGAAATTTTCTCTTCTCATATTTTCTTTCGTCCTCTTGAGTTTTTATTTTCTTTACGTTATCTTAACTATCTTTTTCAATTGATTTTTTATGAATTGTATTTGTTTCGAATTATTTGCAAGTCTAATAATATTGTTAGAATTTTATAAAAAGAATTATATTAAACTATATTTGCAATTATAAATGCTATATCAATTTTTTTTTTCAAATTGATGACCATCATTTAATAAAAACTATTGCAATGTTGGTGATGCAAGAAAGAATGGGACTGAAAATAATTCGACGTCGGATTGCATTTTATAATCGCGAGAATAAATTGAAATAAAATTGATCACGTTTGAGTAAACGGTTTTAACTAAATATTTTCTTTTTCCTATCTTAAGAATATAACGTTTAGCAATTCAATCGCAATAAAGCTTGGTATTTAAAATAATTATGAAAGTTCAATATAATGAAATTGTAGACGATATTTTTCTGCATCAATACGAAAAAGATCTTTTATTGTGATATACATCAAAAGAGCCGACGTTGCTGGTAGTCAACTTCCCTAATATCTTGTAGAAGCGTCCCTTTCGTGTTTTAACGTATAGCAAGCAGCGAGTTTACGAGCGAAAGACGACGTCAGCCTGCAGCGACAGCTGTCATGTGCGGGAAATTTGCTTGCAAGAACGATTTCTCTTTAATGTCAAACTCTAAACGTTCCTCACCTCGTACGTAGCCATTTCCTGAGTTCGTGACACCTTCGGTAAAGCGATCTCTTTTTCGCTTTCGAAGCAGGATCGATATCTGGGCCGCAATTCGATCCAGTTTATTACTCGCATAGATACTACACGGATAAACTAATAAAAATTTCGTCGAACTAGTCGTTTAATCGGTTTCTTTTTCTCTCTCTCTCTCTCTCATATCTTTTTTATTATATTTACATTTATATTTTTATCATTTATATCGTGTTTATTCATTCGGTTTTTCTAATTAATTCAATTTTATTTTAAATCTCGAGAAATTCAATACTTTTTGTTTTCCCTCAATT